ATATATATATTGTTAGAACCATATATTTAAGTATTTGCTCTTAGAAACTTTAATGAGATTGTTTTAATTTTAAAAAGTCTGATTTGGCTGTGATAATTTCTAAATAATTATTCTTAATTTGAATTTTTTAGTATCTTTAAGTGGTTGTGCAAAGAAATTGCCATTCAACAAAGCAGTTTATGAATGAAGTGCAGCTTGATCAGTGTCACCTCTTTCAATATTCTCACCTATCCCTCCCACCACATCCCTTCCCTCATATTTCTTAAGATTTTAGTATATGCATTGAATACTTTTTTTTGCCGTTTAACAAAGCTGTTTATGTATGCTGATCTGTGTTATTCCTTCAGCATTTTTACCTCTCTTTGACCCACTTCTTCCCTTAATTTTCTTCATTGTTATACAATGAATTCTTGACTACATTTAAATTCCTTTATTCATTTGTGTGTATGTGTGCATGTGTGTGCATGCATGTATGTCCCATAGTGGAGCTGGAACTCAGGCCTTGGCTTTGGCCCTTAGCTTTTGCACTCAAGGCTGGCTCTCTACCACTAGAACCACAGCTTCACTTGTGTTTTATTTTTAGCAGTTGTACAAAGGGATTTAAATTCAACATATCAATTTAGGAGTATAATGCATCTTGATCAATGTCAAATTTATTTTTTAATTTTTAAGCAAGCAAATGATATCCAAAATGATACATTATTTATTTGCTTGTTTGTTTGGACCTGTCCTTATTTATGGCAATGGGCCTGTCTAGGAATCATGACAGACATATAGAGAGGTAAGACCTGCAGATGTTGACCAAGAAACCACCTTTCAGTTGTACATCTTGAAGGTGCATCATCTTACCTCCCTGCATAACTTCCTCTAAGTCATGGGTTAAAAGTAATAGGTTAAACATTTCACAAGAAAATGACCTCAGTCTCTTGCTCTGAGCTCTGTGGCTCTGAGCTGACAACATATTTTCCTTTGAAAAGGGAAGCTGCAGCTTCAGCATCCTCTCCTGGAGGCCATGGCAGAGTTTCAGGCTGTGTGTCAGGGGAATCCTTGCATGCATCACAATGACGGAAGCCAAGTGCTGCTCTGCAAGTATTGAGGACTGAGTGTTCACAGGAGAGTTTGAACAGAACCCTAGGGTGTTACATAGTTCAAAGGTGCCGGCAGAAAGCTGATGCTCCTGTGGGAGGGGACTGCCAAAGGCTCAAGTTTTTTCATCTCAGTTGCTACTCCATATCCCTTTCCTAGTTTGTATGAAATTTACCCACTAGTTTTTGCTTGGGTATTTTTCTGTCTTTAGTTCCCTGGCTTATAAGATTGTGGATACAGAGAAGAGTTTTCATATTTTTATGTAGAACCTCAGTGCATACTATTCTCTGGGGGAGGTGTATTTCATTAATGAATGCAGTCTGTGTTCTTGGTAAAAGCCACATGAGATTGGCTCACTGTTTTTGTCCTGCTAGTTGTAGATGACATTTAGGTGTGTTACTTGGTGTGGTGACTCAATTTCCTGTAGGATAGCTGGCAACTCCACATTGACGCCCTTTTTTTTTGGGGGGGGGGCAGAAGTAAAAGATGAAAAGGTCAGTTGGGGTTAAAATTCCTAAAAGTGAAAGTAATTATGATTCCCCCCCAAACAATTATGGCTAGTTATTTTGTCTATAAACCTAGGAATTTCTAGAAAGTAGTATTTCAGCTTTATGCTAACAACAATTCTTTATTCCAGACACAATTTTATAAATAAACTGTTGTTTATAAATATTTCTTACTTACTGATATTCATACATATTCTGAGTCATTTTTCTTTCATTCTTCAGATTTACATAGGGCATGTAGATGTTGAAATTTAAAATGCATATATATGTGTGTGTGTGTGTGTTGTGTGTGTATATGTATACATATATATCACATTATGGTCCTACACTCTTCCTGAGAGTACAAATGGCTAAGCCATATATGAATATAAAATTAATCTTCTGCGATAAGTTGCCTTTTTTTCCCACTATCTTACCTTCCTAAGAACAAATCATGTATTTAAGTGCATGATGTCTTGAAGCACTAACCTGAAACTTTATTGAATTACTTTTCCACATTAAAAAATAAAGACTGAAATATAATATGTGAAACATATCCTGGTAGGTCTGAAGTCTGAATGTGTACTTGTGATTTCAGAATATCTTTAGGAAGTTAGTGAAGAGGGAGGCCAGTTTATGTACTAGGACATGTCCCGGGGCTAAGGCTTTGAAGATGTCAGACTTCAGAAAGCAAAGCTTAGAGATGCAGAGGGGACTCTCGCTTCAGATGGCTGGAAAGATGTCAACAAATAAATATTACCCAATGGTACCCAATAGGCCTGTAATCCTAGCCTACTAGATGTGTTATGAATAACTTGAATGATTATAAAATAACTTAATTACCTTTTACAACTTTCTGTGTCCCTATTTCATAAGTAGAGGGAGGGAAAAGCAACAGCAACACCTCAGAGTAGATGTACTACCATGGCAACAAGATAACACTATAGACTTACCTGTGGAAAATATTCCATAAATTGAACACGGTTGTGTTACATCATAGGCCGAATTATTGCTTGGGATCTTTAGGTTGTAGGATTTCAAGGGATGTTTGATCCACCTCTATAGTGTTTCTTTCTTTCTTTAGAAAAAATAACAAACATGTAATATTTTATAGTCTTATGACCAAGGAAAAATTATACCGATAAAGTATCTTATACTTACCATTTAAAAATCAGCTTTAAGGTTCCTATAGTTTAGGAAAAAAAGCTTCAACCTTAAACTGTAATTTACTTGGCATGCTTGAGACATGTTGATTTATCTGAAGTATTTACAGAGATTGATGCAGAGAAACAAAAGGTAAAATCCAAGAAGCAAATTTTAACCCTAGAGTCCTAAAAGTGAAGGGCAAACTGTACAAGAATCCTTCATAACACCACGTAGCACATGTAACAAGTATGGTGAAAGTCATTTGAAAGTCATAATTCTTCCAATTTTCATGTGGGGAAAAAACTTCCTGAAAAAAAATCCCAAGATCTTCACCTTCAGTCTGAGAAACTCTTTGTGGTGCCCCTGGTAATCTATGGAATGCGAATTTAAGGACAGAACTTCTCTACCCCCACCAATACCTGTAGGTCGGAGGACCCCTATAAAGGATCCCAGCACTTCAGGTCAGCGGTTCAATTCCTGACAGTGACAGAGTAAGCTGGGCCTTTGCGAGTTTGAATGTTTTCCCCTGCCAATCCGTATAGGAAGAGTGCCCGTGGTCTCCTGGGTGTGTTTTTGTAAATAGAACCTGTTTCCCTGTAGTTGCAATCAGAACCTGTATTTGGAAATGGTCTTGTTCGTTTCCCCTCCTTTGTGGTTTATTCTGTACATAGTGAGTAGAAACACCCTTCCAGACTTTTCGTCCTTGGCACCGCAAGATTGTCCTGTCTTGTGCAATTCCACCAAGGAAGCACGTATGCAGGGCATGTGTGAACTCCCTGCCCTGCGGTTCATTCAAGTTGCTGTTCCTTTAAGATAACGCTTAGACAGTAAGAAATGCAGCTTACTGTCAAACATTCTAAGGGGTTCCAAGGGCCCCCGCACCACTGTTCGTGTGTGGTCACTCCAAAGGTGAAAGAAATCTTGTACTCAGGGCTTGGGTACTAGCAGAGTTGGCTCTTCATACAAATGATCCTATTCGACAACTCTGCTCCCTTAACGTGAATCCTAAACCCTCTGAAATGCCAACGCCTGAACCCCCAGAAGCGACTGGATGGTGTGGATCCCCCATCCCCCCCCCTCCCCCGGTGCAACCTGGAGAGAAGCAGCGGGGCTGGTGGAGATGCAGAGGCTCAGGCGAGGCGCAGCGGGCGGGCCGCGGGCCTGGGAGCACAGGGTCCCCACGGGGCAGGTGCGCGTCCGCACGCGCCTGCGCGCAGGGTCCCTCCGGAGCCCCGCCTGAGCCCCGCGTTGGGCGCGACCCTGGGCGGGCAGCGGGCTGCGGATGCGCTCCACGCCGGGTTTTCCTCCGCTCTCCTCCTTCCGACCAGCTCCACAGCAGCCCTGCAGACACACGCTGCTAGAGCCCGTGCGCTGCCTCCCCGGCTTGCTGGCGCTTCAAAGCGAGCGCGGAGCGGCCCCGGCTGGCGGGGCTGCTCAGGGGGGGGGCGATGGCTCGGCGGCGGGGCGGCGGGGCTGCGGGCTAGGACGCAGCGGGTGGCACCGACGGGATGGTGCAATTTGGAATCTTCGTGTAAGGGAGGAGCCCGACAGCGCCCAGGGGGCGTGAGGGGCGTGAGGGGGGAGTGTTCCCGGAAAGCCTGGTCCTGGGAACTGTGTTGCGCCCGCCGCCTGAGGACTTGAGAAAGAAAACAGGAAACGTGGTGGCCGCGCACCCGGCCCCGGCTGATTCATTCGTTTCGAGCGCAGCGGTGGAAGCGTCCTCCGGCCCCGGCGGGGCGGGATTGGGGCGCGCTCCCCCACCCCACCCCCTCCGATACAAACCCTGAGGCTCTGGGCTGCGCATCCAGGAGACCCGGCCGGGCGACGAGCGGCCGTGTGGACGCGGCTCTGCGGGGCGGGGACCCGGCGCACGCGCGCGCGCACCGCCCCTTCGCCAACCTCCAGCGTGGAGATCCCAGGACTTGGAGCAGCACCCTGCCTCGCCATCCAAAACAACAACAAAAAAAAGGCACCTCGTGCTTATTCCGCCTTGAGTCCCCGGTGTAAAAGTTGGCTAGTCGCACTTCTGCGCGCCCTCCCTGGAGGCCGATCGGTGACGCCAAGCTGGAGCAACCTCACCTTCTCGAACCCCGCCGCTGCCCCCAGAGCAGAGCCTCGGCCCCCAGCGCGCTGCCGGGCTCGGCAATATGAAGGAGCAGCCCTCATGTGCGGGCACCGGGCATCCGAGCATGGCGGGGTATGGCAGGATGGCCCCCTTTGAACTCGCTGGCGGCCCCGTGAAGCGCTTGAGAACTGAGTTCCCCTTTCCCTATCTCTTCGCAGAGGAGGCCTACCAGAAACTGGCCAGCGAGACCCTGGAGGAGCTGGACTGGTGTCTGGACCAGCTAGAGACCCTGCAGACCAGGCACTCCGTCAGTGAGATGGCCTCCAATAAGGTAAGCCCCTGCTTGGCTGTCACCCATTTTACCCCCCCCCCCCCCGCTCCCCCCCAGGGCTGGTGATTCCCACACCCCACAAGGCAGCAGTCTCCATGTGGCCCCGGGAATACATGGGGACATTCGTCACGCTTAGTTCATGTGAGCAGTTCTGCTGCCTGGAGACACAGTCCTGTTTCCATGCCTTCCTTTTCTCTTCTGCACACTCTAGATAAATCACACCTTTTATTTATGTATTCATTTTTGCAAAAGCAACTTTGACAGAGTTTGATTAAGTGTGCCCAGGACACAGGTTCCTAAGTGACACTGTGCCCTTGAAGCAGAAACCCAGTAGGGTCTGGTGGTGTGGCACAGTTAAAGGAATCCCCTGGGATTCCTGGCTGGCCGGTTGGAAATAAATGTTGTAGGATGACACTGAAATCACTCGTGTCCACCCGCCTACCTACTACGCCCAGACTCTGAAAAGTTCATTGAACTTGGAACCTCACCCCTCACTTACCTAATTGTCTGGGCACCCTATAAGAACCAAGCTTGTGTGTGTGTGTGTGTTCTGTTCTCCATACACATGCACAGGAAACGTCAACAAAGTATGAAGGGTTCACTTTGATCATTACCTTGGTTTCCTTAGGTACTGGAAGACAGGTCCAGGTTTCTGGGATCATTTAGTTAGCAGCAGGCTTCAGCTGGACATTTGTGGCATATGTGCCAAGATGCTGGTCTTGGCAGTTCGTGGAGTTTGGGGGCTGAGAAAGTAACCTTCAGCGTGAGACAGCTTTAAAATAGCCTGGAAAGCAAGGTAGAGCATTTCAGTCTTGCTGCATTGTTTCTGTGTGTGTGTGTGCGCGCATGTCTGTGTGTGTGTGAGAGAGAGAGAGAGATTCTTTTTTCTTTTTGTCTTTAGTTATGCAAAAAATTAATTGGTATTATGTTTTTAATGACTCATTGGCTAAGGGGATGGGAAAGAAGCCATCTGCATGTTGGATACAGATGGCTGAGGGGTTCCACTCTTAAGTACTACTATTGTGTGGCAGTTAGGCATAGTTACCTCTTAAAGATACTTGGGTATTTGGGGCCACCTATTTACAAGGTCAGGAAGGTTATGCCATTTGTCTTGGAATGTCTTTCTTTCCTTCCTTTCTTCCTTCCTTCCTTCCTTGCTTGCTTGCTTCCTTCTTTCCTTCCTTCCTTCCTTCCTTCCTTCCTTCCTTCCTTCCTTCCTTCCTTCCTTCCTTCCTTCCTTCCTTCTCTTCCTTCTTTCCTTCATTCCTTCCTTCTCTCTCTCCTTCCTTCCTTCCTTCTTTCCTTCCTTCCTTCTTTCCTTCCTTCCTTCCTTCCTTCCTTCCCTCCTTCCCTCCTTCCTTCCTTCCTCTCTCTTCCTCCCTCCCTCCTTCCTCCTTGACTCTCTCCCTCTCTCCTTCCACCTCTCACTCACACACCCAAACACAGTTATTAGAGTTTTTATCCAACCATTTTTCCAAAATGCCACAGCATGTCAACCACTTGATTGTTTTGTCTGTTAATGTTGCTTGTGTAGGTACCATTGTTGTATTGAAAAGTTGGCTGGCCTCAAACAAATAAAAAAGGTCCCCCAGATACACTGCCAGTGGGTGCCAACCTGCCCCTGTGTACACTAGTGATGAAATTAAGATTCATGGTTTTTCTTCTCCTCTTCTTTTCTCTTCTCTTCTCTTTCCATCATTTGGGCTTTATTTGTGAATTTGGCCTGGCTCCTTATTAGAATGGTTATTGTGTTCTGACTAGAACACACTGTATAACATTAGATATCACTCATTTGACTAGTTCTTATTTTTATGGAACATAAATCTTTTTTAAACAATTTAATTCATATCAGGAGTAGATATATGCATATCTCTAGGGTCCTAAATGTTGATTGTGACTATTGTCAGTGAGCTGAGTTCTTAAATCTCTTGTCTAATACTGTGTGGTCAAAGGCAGAACAAAATCCCAGTACACCCAGTCAGTTGTATGTATTAGTTTACCTTTCAGGATAATTTTTTACAAGACGTTTTCAGCTAAATGCATCTAAGCAGCTATAGTTGCTTTACCTAAAAATCCACCTTCTTAATGATAAAACCTGTTTTAAGTTTAATAATTGATGTGAGAGCTAATAATTTTTGTTAAATGACTTCAACCATGAAGTAATTTATGTCTGTACTCTAAGTTTAAAACATTGTAGGTTATAATAATTGATCAAAATAATACTTTTCTTTCAAGACAACAAATAAGAGAGGGATTTTAAAACTGAGTTAACTGTTACAGGATTAGTATGTGAGGTAGGTTTATTTGGTTGAAGTGAAGTGAAATGTGTGTCAAGTAAAAGAAAGTTTTTTTTGCTTCAAAAGGTAATCATTCTAGCTGTGTATATGTGTTGTGGTTGAAAGATTATTGATATAACACTTATTTTTAAAACGAAGTTCAGCTTAGCTGAAGCTGTTCTTTAAGCTTTTAATGTTTAGGCCATTCATTCTTTGAAAAAAAATTCATTTCAAAATTAGTGTTCCACTTACCTGACATTTTAGGGATGGCAAAGGATTAGCCTAGAAAGAAGAAAAGCCCTTGGTGAAGGTTGCAAAGTTACCCTTTCTGCTTGATAACAAGGGCACGAATAAGCCACCTCCACTAGAGCTATAAACTGAGTTGAAATGGAGCTGCAGGTCCCTGTGAGTGACATTCTCCCTTCAGTTTGGACTGCAATGTATGGCTTAATTGACACATCACTCAGCTGTTGGACTTCTCTTGAGTCTGACTAAATTAAGTCGGAAACATTGCCTTTTGATAAATGGTCCCACTGCTGTTGACATTTTTAATCTATCAACATTTTCAGCTTATTCTCTTTTGCCTTCGGAAAAAAATGAGGATATTTTTCTCCGTTTTTTCACTCTCTGGAGATTTTAAGGTATTTTTATGCTAATAGGTTAAACAAGCACAATTAAAGGGTGAGTAAGAAACCAGCAGTTCAAGTGATAGTTAATAGTATTTGTTATGGACATGGTCTTGGGTGTTGGGAGAGAACTGGCCCCTCAGGCCCACTTGACTGTGTTAGTAAATAATGTTTACATTTGCTTAAACACAAGAGGAATCTAAAACAGTTTTAAAATGATGCTTTAGAAGCAGCTGGCTATATTTTATGTATGTGTATAATACTATATAACTGCTGTTTGTTGATGATACTGAGACAGGAAAATTATTGTCTTCTTGGCCAAGGCCAGGATTGGTTGTCACACATGTAGGATGCTTGGACCAAATGGAGTAAGAGATTCCAGATGGTATTTAATTTGAGTGATTAAATCTACAGCATTTACCCTCATAAGTACATTAATCTGCCTAAGATTTGTACAGATTTCCTCTGGAACCTCATTGCTACAATTGAGGGCAATTTTAGTATGGCTTCAAAGCTTTGAAGGCACACAGACCTAGATGTTCAATCCTGTTTTTGTTCCTTGCTAGCTCAGTTACGTTAGAGAAATGATGTAAACTTCTTGAGCTTCAGTTTCCTTTACGTAGCATGGGCATATTAATAGCAATATTGAAAGGTCAGTGTAAGAGTTCCAGGGTTTGGGTCAAACTTTATTGATTGCCCATTTGGCTAAAGCAATGGCATTTATTTTTTATGGCTGTTTACCATTCAGGTGTAATTATGGTAGATGTGTTTCATAGATTTTTTTTGGTAATTCTTAATAACTGTTTTTAAATTTCGTGTAGCATAAATTACTTGGCATTTTGAAGTTCAGATTAGACATTTAGACCTTTCAGAAATTCAACTTTAGGATTCCATACCGAAGAACTAAATGCTTTTCTATCTTGCTGCAAAACTGAAAACACAGCCCTTATTAACCATTAGAACATATAAGTGGTGGGTACTTTTCCACTCTTTTGTACAGATTTTGCAAAGCTACTTTTTTTCTAAACTAAGTAAATGTAGAATGGGTTTATGTTGTTTGTTTTTCTTATGTGGAAATGCATTGAGGATGGGAGGGGGTGGTAAGGAGGTTAGGACAGAAGTCTGGGCCTCAGGACTTCAAAGATCATGTTCTGGAACCCTGCTACTTAATAGTCTTGTGACCTAATTATACACATTTCACCGACGTTAGTGCAGTGATGTTTGAAGGAGAACACAAATTCATGTTGAGTTCTTCCTATAGCATACTAGAATGAAAATGGATGTTGTATTTACTCTCTAATTCTGGGGCCAGTTCCAGACTTGACATTGCCATTTGGCTTCAAACTGGAAGACCTGTCTTAAAGTGACAATTCAAGCATCTTTCTGAAAAGACGTAAGGATTTTCTACAGTTCATTCCAAAGGTACTTAGGCCAGCTTTGGAAATGTAGTTATGACTTCTTCACAGGATTTGTCCCTTTGGTTTTTAGCAAACATCTCTAGTTTGTTTCTCTTGACTATAAATTAGTTTCTAGAGAGGCTTTTTGTGGTTCTTTTTGTGGCTGCTCCCCCTGCTGCCTTGAACGTGTCAATACTTAGCGTAGACCTGAAACTTTCTATGACTGCTGATATATTTTCTTCTAGGCAAGAGGGATGCAGGAAGACATACGGATATTTATAAAAGTAGTTCGGTATTAAGTTATTTCAGCAATGACCACATCCAAGATAGCAATAAAAATGTTGAGCTTTTGCTTAGAAAGAAATTTAAGTTAGTTGGAATAGGGATTTGAATTTATAGGACAAAAATAGAAGTTTTCTGCATTAAATGATAAAAACTGAGAAAATAGTATTACTACAGTCAATAAATAAAGGAAAACCTTCAAAAATATAGCTATTTAAACTAGAATTATTGTCATTTAGAGTTAGAGCTCTGATTTTTCATCCACTTAATAAAGATAGATTGAAGAAAGATTTAGCTATAAGCTACATCATAAGTATGTTTACCTAAGTAAACATGAAAGATTTGTAATCTTTGTTTCTAGAATCACTGTTAAGAGAAGCAGCGTTCTTTGTTTTTAAGTAGTAACAGAAAGATGAAAA